AGAATGACCAATTCTCATCACCTTTTTTTTGTCTTGTGGGACTCTTTATGCTTAGTAACTGAGTAGCTAAATGAAACTGGGAGTTCTGATGATTTCCTCTAATATAAAATTTACAATATTGGTATAATTCATGCAGATAATCATGCAATCTGAATTAACAATAATTAACCTTTTACTGTAGCATTATTTATTAAAGAATACCATCTAATATTGTAGTAAGTTTAATTAGTATTAAAATAGTACATATGAGACTAACTGAATTTTATACTTCCATTTCTCTCTGACACTGTAGATTAATTATGTTGTGAATTTATAACATAAAGAATTAAGTAGCTACTCGTAGTTCTTAGTTTGTTTATTTATTTCAGTTTGTCCCCATAACACTAAACTGAGAAACTTTTCAATTTAATTCATTATTAGAAGATCAATGTAAACCTGTTATAAATCATATAAACATGGTAATAAAAAATTCATTGGGTACAAATGACCTTGCCTTTCAACATAGCATCACTGTTACTTTTATAATGTGTTATAGGATATTTTGACAACAATATTTTTGCCAAAATCAATTTATATTTAGTTATAATTAGTTTTCTGTAAATAAGAAGTTATTGTTTTAGAGTATATGTTGTTTGAATAAAATAAATTTAATGTTGAATGAATTCAATATTATTAAAATGGAATCCTGTAATCTAATAACTTGACCATCTCAGGCCTTGCCTACCACACTCACTAATATCCATGGTTGATATGTTATCGTGGAAGAATAGTCATGTAGCTTTCCAGTAGATATAGCATCACAATAAAAAATTAGATACAAAAATGAGATAAATTGAAAAAATATGGCTTTTAACAGTTACAAAGTTTTAAAATTTTGTTTTCAAATTTTTGCATTTCTGATGAAACTTTGTAGAATGGGTGGCAACTGCCTGTTGTTGAGACACAAGTGTAGAGTATGACATTTCAATAGTCTTCCACCTTTTGTCTTCAGGTCCTGCATTTCTGTTGATTACAGTTGACTATTAACTTCCAACTTTTCAAATGTTTGACTACTTTTCAAAAAACAGTATTGTATTCTCAACTAAAGAGCACTAAAGGTTAAACTCCCTTTCTGAACAAATAGAAAGGGTGAAAACATTAACATCAAGTTAACATAAGATGTTGAAATTTAATTGTAATAAATAATTATAAATTCAGGATAGAGCAAAGAAATAAAATGTAAATTTCAAAGAGGGACTTTCATGGTTCCAGCACTAAGATATACAAAAGAAATGGAAGTTTGGACATTTTTCCAGTTTTGTTCTTGTTGTTTTTTTTCAATGAAATAAATATTCCATGTTGTTAAAATATTAAATTTACAAAAAAGTACAAGAAAAGAAATATTTGAAATATAGTTAAAGTTATACTTTTTATTATATTTTTAATGTTGAATTGGGAGCAAATTTTAAGTCACCCTTAGGCCAGAACAAGTTAAGTAAAATTATGGGATTAGCATAGAGAACTTTCCTTATTTTCTGTATATATTACTGCATATAGTTGAGCAGCAATAATTGGTATAATAGATAATAGGAGCTAAATACAGTTTGGCAATTTTTGTTATTTTGTAGTGCAAGTATGAAAATTATTTTTATAATTGATTATGTCATTTTTACATTTTACAAAGTGACTGCAAACACTATGAAACTGTGTGCATTGTTTTTGAATCAAACAATGATAAAATTTATAGTTTTATAAAATATCAACTTTGTATTAAAGTTTTAAAAGAATGTAGGAAGACATTAAATGTACAACAAAAGTAAGCATTTAAATGTTTATGAACAAACATATCAGAGTAAAATCTTTTCAAAATTTCAATGCTATGAATTGTTTTTGAATCAAACAATGATAAAATTTATAGTTTTATAAAATATCAACTTTGTATTAAAGTTTTAAAAGAATGTAGGAAGACATTAAATGTACAACAAAAGTAAGCATTTAAATGTTTATGAACAAACATATCAGAGTAAAATCTTTTCAAAATGTCAATGCTATGAATTCAAATATATACCACATAAAAAGTAATTTTGAATTTTCAAAATCCATTAGTTTTTGGTTTTTTTTCACAATGCAATAAAATAAACTATACAGTAGGTGCTTCCAATTTACTCACCTGGGCCTCATGTATTTAATAACAACCTTTTGTTTTCTTCCACTCAACCATCCTACAGTTCAATTAACTAGCCTTTCCCCAATGCCTATCATATGCTTTCATTAGTTAATCTTTTTATGGTACTTTAGAAAATCTAATTGTACCAAGTCCTCATTTTTCCATCATGTCAATAATAAGTAACATCCTCCAAAAAGATAACAGATCTGTGAAGCAAGATTTCCGTTTGGTGAATCTGTGTTGGCTTTTTTGAATATGTTTCACTAAATTATTTTGTAAAGCTTCTTTTATATGATTCTAGAATTTTTACCACTACAAAAATAAGACTATCTGGCCAATAATTTCCAGGTTAATTCTTATCACCCCATTTAAAAATAATTATGACATTATTAGCAACTCTCTTATCTAGAGATGCCTATTCACTGTCTACTGACCTATTAAAAATGAAAGAGAGAAGACTGTATATCAGGTCTTAGACTTCCTTTAAAACCTTGGGGGAAAATCTTGTTGATTCTGGTACTTTATTTTAATATTGTGATCTTTCTACATAATTATCACCAAAAAATTAATATCTACATAATTCAATTCCAATATTTTTTGTAGAATGTTAAGGGTCAGGAATATTGATAATGTTTACTTTATAAAAACAAAAGAGAAGAAGACATTTAAGAATCCAGTCATCTCATATTCTTCAACAAAAAGCTTGTCATTAGCATATTTTATGGGCCAAATCCACATTTTCACATTTTTCTCACCTTTAACATGATTAAAAAATCCTTGCTTTTAGTTTTAACATTGTGAGGCAACTATTTCTCATTAGCCTTTTTGGATTTCCTGATTTCTCTTTTAACCAAATACTTAGCTTTCCTGAACTTTTGTAAGTTTTCAAACTTGTCTGTCAGCTAAAATTTATTTTCTTAAACTTCTGAAATTTATCTCTGATTTTCTTTTTTGTGTTATAAGGAAGTCATTTAGGTTTAACTTTCCCTATTATCTTGTTCCTCTTTTTTACATACTTGCCTATCTTGAATTAAATTCAATTTGTTTTCAAAGAATTTTCAAATATGCCTTACTTCGTCTTTTAACTCATTATCCTAAGTTACTAATGATAAGCATTATTTCTTGGCCTAATTACAATAGATAGAGAAATACATCACAATATTGATCAGTTAATAATTCAAGTACTAGCCCTAGGCTAGACCTTTTTGTTTTATATTATACCTCATTAAATACTTAATATTTTCTATTTAAAGTTTAAAGTGTACATAGCTTGTATTATTATTTAAACGTATCTCTCCTTTAATGTTGTCAGACATAATTTACGATACATTGTGAATGTTGATCATTAACTTGAATGAATAAGTATAATTACCCACAGAAAAATGGCCATTAAAAAGATTGTTTTCTTATTTTTTTGAAGCAAGTGGTTTTATTGGTTTTGAATTTCCTTTTGGACTTGCTGGCTTCTTCCCCTTCTTTACTCTCATTTCATATCACACACCTTAACTATCATTGAAGGCTATCTACAAATTATCTGTACACTGTCTACAAGGGGGTGAAAAGGAAAACTTCATGACATGCACTTGAACATCCTGGAACTTGTATTTTTGATTTCCTGCCTATGTTTTTTATTGTTGTTCATTCTTACTGATGTGTCACCATTAGTAATAGTTACACTGACTGTTAATCATTGTTATAAATAAGTTATTAGCATTAAATTGCAGTTATATATTAAAACAATTAATAAAATTGTTACAATAACATTCATCATAAACTAAAGTTTTCTACTTCGTTTATAAGTCATTTCTAACTTGATGTTTTAAATAAAATTACTTATTTACAATATCTGGGGCCTAGTTACAATAAATATAGATAGCCAAATTTGAGAAGAAGAATATATCACATGATTGATCATTCAGCAACTTAATAAAAATACTTGATGATTAATATGGAAATAAGAGAGAAGTTTTATAAACATCAATCTAGTAATATTTAATTTTTCTTCATCCTGTAAGGATAGAATAGTAGCTCTCTACATACATAAATATATTGTTATATGACTAAAATAAGGTTAAAATTGTAAATGAATTTCTCAATCATTAATTTACTTAATAATCTGAGTCAACTTATAGTTATTGGTATTAGTAGCATTTACTGTAACTTATTATTCATTCTCAAATTTTCTCATGGATGTTATTTATATATTTTGTTGCACTTTATTGGCTGATTGGCCAATCAAAATTATGAAATACATTTGCATTCTATTGTTTACAATATTAAGTTTTTTTTAGTTACTTTATTTGCCCAAATATAACACACATCCAATTTTGAATGGTTAAATTGAAGAAAATTTGTTTTTACACATCAGTTGTACTAAATATAGTAAGTAACTATCAGTGTATTAAACATTTTTGAAATCTTTCCCTGAATTTTTTTGTATGTGTCAATTTTAAAAACTTTATTGAAAATTTTATACATGGTAATACCCTAAGCTAATCATTCATCTTCACATAAATCTTTATCCTGTCTAGAATTGTCGCTACCATCGGATTTGCTTCTTTGAACCTTTCCTTCACTGGTTGACATGCATTGGATATGCAACATTTTTTGAAACTTTTAATGATGCTTTAATGATTTTTATTTGTAGCTTCTAGTAGAATACCTAACAGAATTGAATATGCTCAATTATAATGCACAATCATTTTTTTTGGAGGTATTTGGAGGAAAAGTGTGTGCAAATGTAGCAGTTCTCTTACCTAATATAACCTTTGACAGTGTTTAATGTAAGGAGTTTTTATATTTTTCACATTGAGCCTGAAGAAATAAACAATGAATATTATTTTATTTTTTTCAGTTTAACTTCCTCATATGTCAGTTTATAGCCTTGCTGCTTGCCATTGTTTACAAAAAAATACTTCCACCTAATAAAGTAACACCTGAAATTCGACATACAGTTGCTTTAATGATGGGAATTGTACTTGGGTATTTTTGTTTTGGGCAGTAAGTATTTTTCATATTTTTGCAATAATCTCAATTTTACCAGAGTTGTTTCATCATATATATTTCAGTGTGGAATATTGT